CACCTCAAGAGTCCCCAGAAACCCCGATGAATTACTCCCTGTGTGATGCGCACGCACAGGAGCGGGGCGGGAGGGTGGCGCTGTGCCTCTGTGTTCGTGCGCATCTCTCATGACTCATGTATTTATTGGCTCTTCACGGCCTAGGGATCCTATGCCGGTGAGTTGGCGTTCACGCGCACTTGGAGCACTTGGAGTGCAGTTATCAGCCTCACATCCAGGGCCGGCGCTGAATCATCATCGTCATGGAGCTTTGACAACCTCTGTCTGGTGCTGCTTCTCGCTTCGTGCGTCCTTGGAGTTGGTCTCGTTCACCACGAGCTCGCCACGTCGCCGCCTGTGTTTGGGTTTCTATGTTTGCGATTTGGGTTTTGGATGTTCTGTGACCGTTTGTTTATTCCCGTTCCCCTGTGTCCCTGATCGTCCTTACAAGATCCTGCTCGCGCAGGTGGGGACCCTGTCCTTCTCCCACCCCTTGTTTTGTTTGGTCCGTTTTATTGCGTACAGCTCCGTGTTAGCTCGCAGCTCCCTGCATCCGCCCTTCTCCACATCGCCGGTCATCATGCCGATGCAGACTCAATCCACGCCTCCACCGCAAACACACGCGGAAGCCCGGTGACCGCATCAACGATGATCTCCAGCTTGGCGAGGCCGTTTTCCATCACCACCTTGCAGAAGGACGGATACCCCTGCTTTTGAAGCCACGCATCGAAGCCCAGCACCCGCTTCTCGTACTGCGCGCTCACCCGCTGCTGCCGCTCCTATAAAGACAACCACACGGGTGAGCCTAAGGGAGCGGCGTGCTCTGCCCGCACCGCCGCACCATCACGCGCCTTGCCTTCGAAGCTGCCTGCCTGGAGCCACACCTGGAACTTGCCGTGGTGCTCGGCGTCGTTTGTGTAGTCCTTGCGTTGCGGCATCGATGCGACCGACAAAGAGCCCGCTGGGGTCTCCCTTGCGATTGCCTCGGTGCCCCGCCAGCGTGCTTTTGTCATCATGCTGTCGTGCCTCTCCGCAGCCGCCGCGCTACCGCGGCCTCCGCCGCGGAAGGTGGCCCGCGCCTTCGCGAATCCCGTCTTGCGGCTTTTGCCGGATGCCCACCGCTTGGCCTCATTGCGGGGGCGGCCACCGGGCCGTGCCGTGGCCGCCCCCGTAGCTCGCGAAGCTGCGAACCGGGCTGCGTCCACTGCGCCGCGACCGTCGGCCCCCGGACTCGGTTCTTCGCGGCCTGCGCCGGAGAGTTGGCGGTCGTGCGCTGGGTGGTGATCGTCATCTGTCTGCTCTGCTGTGCTTCTCGCTCGTGCGTCCTTGGACTTGTGCTGACCTCCTTTCACCTCCTGCTCTCCTATCGTCCTATGCCACGTGGCTGTGTGTGTTTGGGTTTCTATGTTTGCGATTTGGATTTTGGATTTTCCACTGCACTTTGTTTATTTATTTTCTACGACTCTTTGTTTATTTATTGTTGTTAGGAATCCCCGAGAGCGCCATCGATGTCGATCGATGTCTCGATGTTACAGGATGTATGAACTGCGCAGCGTTTCTTCAGAACCCAGTTGTGCGAGGGACTACATAAAATTCTGGAAAGTGAAATTCTTCTAAAATTCTTCAGCGAGTGGGCCTGCATTGTCAGCTCACCAGTCAGTTACAGCGCAGTCTGGGCCCGCGCATACATGGAGAACTACGAGCCGCTCGGCACGATTGGCGAGGGCACCTACGGCGTGGTGCTCAAGGCGCGGCACAAGGAGACCGGGCAGATTGTTGCCATAAAAAAGTTCAAGGAGTCGGACGAGGATGAGCAGGCGTGGTAGAAGCCGTGAGCCCGCCGCGACACGGGGAGAGCCGTGCAAGAGAGCATCGATTCCACCAGCATTCAGGCGCTGAGCGCCCGGGCACCAGTGCGCTCGGCAGCCACCACACCTGCCCAACCT